ATATATATAGATATATATATATATATATATATTTGATATTGATATTGATAATGAACTAAAGGCAGTCCCAATATATATATATATATATATATATATATATATATATATATATATATATATATATATATATATATATATGAGATGGTTCAGATGAAGCCACATAATAAAGTGAAGACGTGAAAACACTATTTTTATTTTATTATTATTCTATAAATTATGTATATATGTAATATTGTGGTAAATTCTAATGTGGATATAATCATAGATTATTCATTTATTCATTGTTGAATAATGATATAAAACAATACATACAAAATTCACAACAAAATAATATCATAAAACTAATGTCTTCGTTTTATTTGGTGTCTTCATTGAACCGATATATATATATATATATATATATATATATATATATATATATATATATATATATATATATATATATATATATATATATTTGTGTGTATGCATGTGTGTTAAAATGAGAAGTAGATTTTTTGTTAGAAGAGTGGGAATGAATTATAACCAATCAATTGTTTTCCAAATTTAATTAATTAAATAATTTAAATAATTAAGTAAGTGTATGTAATTAATACGGGAGAGTATATTAGTCATAGTAACAAAGTCATTCATATTATCATGATTGTAACATCATTATAATTATGGACTATTACTAGATTCAACAAGTTTATAAAATATCTACAATTAAAGAATTATGTTGAATACATGTTGATATATCCAACTTATTTATTCTCCATGTATATTCAACTTCTGTATCAAATTCTCTTTGTATATTCAAATTTAGTTTTCAAGGATGAATATATTCAACTTGTGTATTCCTCATGTATATTGCTTCATATATCGATTTATGTCTTGATAGACTCATTGAGCACCCTTGGAAAGAAGGAAAGTTATGTATGTAATTATTCATTTATATTTGAGTTGTGTATCAAACTATCCATGTATAATCAACTTATGTATTCTCTCTCTCTCTTTATATATATATATATATATATATATATATATATATATATATATATATATATATATATATATATATATATATATATATATATTCAACTAGTGAAAAATATTACATGTTGATTAGAAGATTAATCAGAATAATTAAACCATATTTCATAATTATGTAGTTATTCCAGTAATCGTGATTCACACTATACCTATAATACACTTGCACTTTAATTATGAATAAACCCTTAATTCTTTTAATTATTTCATTAATTAAATACGGATAAACTCTTCATAAACATTTCATTAATAAAGTACTTATAAATATGTGTCATGTTGAAAGTTCTAAATAACGTGAGTTATGATGTGACGGCAAGATTAAGCCTCATGCTTTGAGAGACATGGCGAATTATAACGTTTTTAAGTCATAGATTAAGACAACAATTTTATATATAATTTAATCGTTTATATATAAATATATATGTTTTTTTTATCATTATCCGTTTTTATATGTATACATATGACTTAAGCCATCTTTTTTATAACGTGGCATCGGATGGAATCCTTGGACCTATGAACGTATGAATCCATATCAAAATTTTGGGATAATGACTTAAAAAGGTAATATATTTTTCGATTTGTACACATTTGATCACTAAGTTTTTTTTTCGTTCACATTTACCCTTCAACTTGTTTAACTGTAAAAATTTAGTCCTTATGACCGACTATAGGTAAGCCGGAAAAAGTGACTTAATTGAGTAATATATTTCTCACTTTGTACACATTTAGCCCTTAATATTTTTTTGCACATTTAGTCCTTAATATTTTTTTGTTGCAAAATAAGTCTTTCTTGTTTTTGTACACATTTAGTACTTATGACCGGTTTTTTTAGGGTTTTCTCATGTCGTCCTACGTGACACAACCATTAATAAGGTATTCGTATTGTTCATGGTTATCTTCATCGCGACCTCGACTACTTGGTTGTTTATTTCTTGTGGTTTGACTCATGTTTTTTGTTCTGAACGTCGTAACTTCTTCATACGATCACAGATTTTAACGATCTTTATATCTACACAATCATATTTGAGTCTACTATAATTTTCGTTTAGATTACTCCCATTAAAAAGCAATATATTTTTACTTACGATCTTTATATCTATGCATTCTTTATGAATGTATGTATGAACATTTTTTTTTATAAAATCGTAATTAAATATATATTGTTTTTTAACGCGAGTAATGTAAACGAAAATTATAATAGACTCAAATACAAACGTGTGGATATAAAGATCGTTAAAATTTATGATCGTATGAAGAAGTCACGACGTCCAAAACACAAGACCTAAGTTAAACCACAAGAACTAAGCAACCAAGCAGCCGAAGTCGCGGTGGCCATAAACATGAACAACCTCGAACACCTTCTTAAGTATTGTCCCGCGTAAGATGTCGTGATAAAAAACCGATCATAAGTACTGAATGTGTACAAAAAACAACAATGAGTTATTTTGCAACAAAAAAATATTATGAACTAAATATGCAAAAAATTGTTAAGGACTAAATGTGTACAAATTGAGAAATATATTACTCTTTTAAGTCATTTTTCTGGCTTACCTGGAGTAACCGGTCATAAGGACTAAATGTGTACAGTTAAAGAAGTTGAAGGGGTAAATATGGACGAAAAAAAAAACTCAGTGACCAAATATATATACAAATCAAAAAATATATTACCATTTCAACTCATTATCCAAACAATTTTAAAACATTGCTCGTAAGTCGTATCACTAGAAGGCTAATTAATGATGGAATATTGGAATGTACAGATTTTTAACAGTATAATATTTTAATAAACTAACTCAAACACAACACTCTAGAAAAAAAAAAAATAATAACAAGAGAGAGTAAATTATTTTGCCATATCTTATATTGAAACCGTTGAGCTCTGTTTCAGGTCTAAAATAAATTGAATTATACGAATTTAATACATTGAGAATAATATAAAACCAAATCAGTTTTTTTTTAATGTAATAATTGAAAATATAATAATGATCAAAGTAAATGAAAACGGTTAATTAATAGAGTGGGATGTTGAGGAAGCATGAATTAAATTCGACTGTGGGATGGATGTGGTTGTCGTGGGATTTACGGGCATCATCCCTGTGGCTTTATTAGTAGTACAGTACTACTCCTACCAGCAGCCACCACTACCCATTAAAACCAGAGAGAATATTAATATATTAAATATATAATAATTTAATGAACACTTAAAATAGAAAAAAGAAATTATTGAAATAAATAAATAAAGAACCAAAAAACACCCAAAAAAGACCAAACCTATAATCTATTGTCTTCTTCTCATGTTCCTTCCTTTCTTGATTTTTTCCATAAATCGACGCCATAAATAATTTTTTTTATGAATAACATGTTTTATATCAATTTTATTTATATATTTCTCAACAAAAAATTATTTTTATTAACTTTAAGATAAAATTTCTCAAAATTTTAAAACAGTCGTGATAATTATGTTTATAAACGAGTTGGAAATAGTTTAGCAATACCTTTTTAAACTCATTTCAACAATTGGCATGCTTACTTTTTTTAAATATCCATTTTTATAAATAATGTAAACTAAGGATTTAGACTTTAAAAATGGCTATGTCATAAAAATTCTTAAGTTTGTAGATTTTATCAATTTTGCTTAAAGTTCGATTTTATTTATATTTTTGTCTCAAACTTTTATTAAATTGTTCGTTTCTACCTTTTCACCGGTTTCCCTTCAATTAGTTAGTTACATTTGCTTGTTGGAAGATACGTTGCTTGCTTATCAATCTTACATGGATGCTAGCCTGATTCAAACACATCTCCATCTCCATTTTACCCCTTTGACCCCAAAGTTAGTCGCACAACTCCATCCTTCTCCAAAGGTAAACTGACAACTTCTTTTGCAAGATCAAGCTTCAATGGTGGTTCAAGATAGAGGAAAAAGAAGGTAATCAGATGTGATTGTGGTATATCAGTTTCACGAACCCCCAAATAACCCAAGACGAAAATTTTGGGGCTGTCCTAATTATTAGGTAAAAACGTATATATTTTTGTAGTAATTTCTCCCCAAAAATTTTAGGCTGCCCTATGTTTCCAAAGAGTAAAATATGTAATGTCTCGCTAAATTTTTGTTTGTTATAGGTGGAAGGAGGAAACTATGGCTTTTACAAATGGGTGGATGAAGAACTAGGTCAAGAAATGCATATGTCTATTATTGAGCAGATCAAGCCATTGTTAGAAGGGATCATAGGGTTGTTAGTGGTTATATTGTTGACGGTAGCAATAGTGATTATTAAGATGTCGTTTTTTTGGTTTTGCAATCTGTTTATGGTAATGTATGAAGGGTAATCAAGACATTTTTCTTGTATTAGCAATGTATTAAGGGTAATAAATAATTATTACATCTTTGTAATGTATTAATGGTAATCAATTGTTATTTTATTTATATGTTGCACTTGTTTTCTTGATAATGTTATTTACTTGATAATGGTATGGGTAAATTGCACTAATGAAAGTACATTGTTAATGCTTATACAATAATGAAATGTAAGGGTAAACTGGTCACATTCTCAATGTAAGGGTAAGGGTAACAACAACATACCACACAAAAAGCCTTAACTTCCACAAGAAAAAAAACACCATGGTTACCATTATTGGGGGCATCCATGATAAACTTTAATAAAAATCATCCATTACTTAAGTTTTACTATCATGTAGCATCCATCCATTTTGTATACCAAGAAATGTACACAAAAGCCTGAAAAATATCCAAAAAAAGGTAAGCCATAATGTAACACTAAACAAATAGATGCATGTTACAAGTAATGGGTGTATACTAAAATATCTACCAAAAAGGGCTACCTATACAATTTCCTAACTATACAATCCCCACTTTTGCCCCCCATATACTTATCTAACTACTACAAATCTACTGGATATCTAGATGTGGAACCCTGTCCATCTTTGTTAAGCTTTTGCAGGGTGATTCTTTCTTAGGGATTTCTTGTCCTTCTGAGTTGTACATGCCCTCCATCATCAACGTCTTTTACCTCCATATTTGCTCCATCATCCTCACCATCACCCTCACCAGCTCCATCACCCTTACCATCACCCTCATTTTCCTCTATCACACCATCTTTTATAAAACCATCACCCTTATTTCCCATTACACCATCAACATATGGAATATCCTCAACTTCATTTACGTCTTGTTAATCAAAATTTTAAAAATACTTATTAATAAAGGATATAACCAGTTTTATACTAATGATTAGAACTTAGAAAATGATGAAGTGAAACTAACCATCTCAACTGGTGCCATATCATCAACTTCAAGTTGTACCCCTTTTCATGCTCTATATTCCTACCATGTTATATCATGCCTCAAGTAGCTCTGCTACACTTTCTAGATTCAGATTAAACATATTTGAGATAACATTAATTGCATTTCCCTTAGTGAATTCAGGTATAGGATTACCCTCATTCTCAAATTGATATTTTTCATCAGTACCTTGAAGAATAACATCCATTACATATCCAACCTCGTCAAGTGTTTTTGCCAGGTCAGGTTCAACATCCTCAACACCTTTTTCATCATTAACTTGAAGAATACCTTAAATAATAACATCCATTGCATCTACAACTTCATCACCTTTCTCATCATTAGCCTTTGGTTGGCTAAAAGCTACTTCATAAGTGCAGATCATATCAACCAAACTATCATTATCAAATATATTCAATTTCAAGAAAATCTTTCATTTCCTCATGAAACCCCTACCTTCAACATGAAAATCTATAACAACATTCTCATCAACTAGAACTCTACCTACTACAATACCACCACCTCTTTTAATAACCAACTTATTTTTTCTTCTAACAGATATAGAACTGGATGGCTTCGGAACTGGTTCCTGCCTCTAAGACCTATCACATAATGTTTGAGTAGGTTCACATTTTTCCTTCCTTGGCATTCCTTTCTTCTTTGGTGGCATAGGAATTGGTTCCCTGGTTGTATTCTTGCATCCTTTTTGTTATAGCCATACTCAAAACATTTACCACACCTTACATTTCTTGGAGTTTGTACTCTTCGTGTACCAATTTTTTCTTCATTTTCATTTACATGCCTCATTCTGTTGACCTTTAGCCTACCAGGCATTCTCCTTGACACTTGTGGTAGGGGCTTTATGAAGTCAGTTTGAGGCCATACATTTGAACCACCACTGGACTAATGTTAGCAGAGTAACACTTAAGGAATTTATCCTTGGAAAAAATATCATTAATATACTCATCGGGTGTTTGATGGATATATTTGATGGCTGCAACTGAATGAACACATGTGATCCCAACCAAATACCATAACCTATAGGTATAATGCCTTCCATCCAAACCCACCATGTAGCTATCACATCCTCTCCTTGCTTCAAATACATGTTCTTGACTATTAGTTATTAATCAAAACCTACATCCACAAGTTTAGTGTTAGTATGTTTAAGTGTTACCTCATGAAATTGAAACAAAAGTTACATGTTAGAGTGTTACCTCATGTTCTTCCTAAAAAACTTCATCTTATTTAACGCTGCAGGATAGAAATGGGTATTCCATTTACTGAATTCCTCAATCACGTGAGAAAAACTATCCATAACATATATCCTTATTTCTTCAAGTGTTGTGATCAATTGTTTTATACTAGCATCCACAATGATGGAGTTGAAGCACTCTGATATACCATTCTCCACTACCTCACAAGCATACCTAACACTCATGTAAGCTATACACCATGTTTAGGGTTCTTTGGACATCAGATTATCATATGCACTAGGAATGAGCTTTCTAATTGCATCCATGTGTCTCTTGGAGTCACCTTCCACAAAACTCATAGTTGCTGCACAAAACAACTTCTTGAACTCTAACCCGGTGTAATCTTTTCTAAAATTTACATATATTTGTCAAGCACATTGCCTGTGATCCACATGTGGCAATATATATTTAACAGATTTGAACAAACCCTATATAGAAACCATCATACGGGTAAGTATTTATTAGTAATTTGAAAATGATTTATAGTTTATATGGGAACTTACTTTATGTTAATCTGATATAACTACGAAGCCCCTGCCATCAATAAGGTCTAGATCAGCAGCAAGGAACTCAAGAAACCATGTCTAGTTAAACTTATTTCCACACCCAAAACAGCCCAAGCTATTGGATAGACCTGGTTGTTGGCATCTCTACCAATGGCCGTTAGCAATTCACCGTTCACTAGCTCCTTTAGAAAGCACCCGTTAAGACCAATCACTTTCATGCACTCTCTTTTCTAGCTAACACTTAATGCTTTGAAACAAATGTAAAACATGTGAACATAATTCTTTCCATCTGGATTGGTTGATACACTAAATTGACATGTGGACCCTGGGTTTAATCTTAACAATTCATTCGTGTAATCCTAAATCCTTGCATAATGCTCAATGAATTTACCTTCTATCAAATATTTGTCCAATTTCTTTGCCCTTCTAACTTGTCCTATGGATACTACACATGCCATTGTTTGATGTCAGTAATCATTTCCCTAAGTTTCCTTTTTGGCTTATTTTCAATTTCAGTCACATAATGTCTTCCAATCCATTCAGGGAAACAATGGATCCAAACTTAAATTGACTAGAAAATTTATGATTACCACTCATAGCTTTGATATGAAAGGATCTTTCCTCTTGCCTTCCTCTTCCTTTTGCCACATGTAGCTACAATTACTTTACTATCATATTTTTCAAAGTATATTCTATAACCATGTGACACTGCATAATTGGTGACATAAAACTTCAGTTGTGCATGGGATTTAAATATGTAACCAAGCTTTGGTTCCATCTTGTCCCACCTGATATTTGGGTCATGAATTATATAGTTGTTTTTCAATACCCCCTCTCCGTCTTCATCACTCTGCCAATTAGTAACATGGTATACTTGCTCTCTAATTGTATTCTCTATACTAGAACTAGGTTTTCATCGCTTAATACAACATTTAGGAAGATATCCTTACATTTATCAAGTGAGGTCACATATTCTTCCTTTGGTTAATCGTCCATGTAAATTCCATGTAGCTCAAAATTCATTTCATTCAAGCCAGAAAATGGCTCACGTATGCCAGCAAATGGGCCAACATACCTTTCGTCTGATGAAGCCGTTACACCCTCCTGCATAAACAAAATAAGTTTCAGAACCCATTGCAAGAAATGTTAAGTGTAAACACAAAAAAGATCACGAACTGTAAAAACCTTACCTTTTGAAGAACACAACATCAAATTTTTACCTAATATTCTCTAAGAAAACCCTCTTTTATAAAGGTTTTCTCAGTGTATATAGAATTTCATTCTAAGTACGGTATTCAAAAATGTGAAAGGTAATGTGATATAGATGGAGGATGCGACAATTTCACATCCCTAAACGACTTAGGGATTTCTCCAAAATTGCGTTAATGAGTCACGTATCTTCCAGCTAAGCAAGTAGTGATTGGTTTTATAGGTAATAAAAATCATATTTTTGGTGGAAAACCTAAACCCCTAAGTTCGCATACACCCTAAAGGATATATGTTCTCACTATGATATTCAAAAAACAATTTGAATTTAAGAACCCTAAAGTACATTATTATTCGATTTAGGATAGAAAACATACCTTTTAGTTTATTATTGTAAATAAACTAGTAATCCTTCTTTGTAGAACTTCAGAAAGCCAGAAACAGAAATCTCGTGCCTCTAATGGCTCACACCGAAACCCAAGTAGTTAGAGGCTATTGGAGAGAGGGGATGCATAGAAGGATTTTCGAAATTCTCTTGGAGAATTGTGAATTCCGAAATTCATATCCCTAAGGGGGTATTTATAGTTGTTAGGAAAGGGTTGTATATAAGGCAGGTTTTCATATGGATAACCCTAACCCTTTTCTTTCCCCCAAAGCAATCCCAAGCTTCCTAAAAGCCCTAGAAAAGCTCCATAAAACCCCCTAGAACCATCCACCCTTTAAGGGAGGTTTTAGAATCAGTCAATGTTCAACTTTTGGAAATTGAGACTTTTAGTCCTTCTACTTTTAATTAATCCAATTGATCCCAAAATTATATCCAATTAATTTCTGATTAATTCATAATTAAACAATACAATTTCTAATTAATATATTATTTTCATAATATATTAATAAGTTATTTATTTTGATTTCTATTTAGTTTATTAATCATATAATAAATTAATAAGTCAGTCTCTTTCTCAAAATAACATTCCAGTCTTTTACTAGGGTTGAGGGCAACCCAAAAGGACTTTGCTTAAAATTTAAGTTTATAATAATTTATTTAACGGCTTAGACACCTAATCCAACAATCTCCCACTTGGATAAGTCTATAACTAAATTACCACTTCCAAATTAAACAACAAAGTGTGTTTTCCAAAGCAACTGTCAAACTCTGAACTAAACAGACATTGATCCTTATATAAGTGATCTAATATTCCTCTGTTCTACTAGATATCATACGGACAAGAGACATGGATTAGAATCAATCTCGTTGTCTAATTTTTGTTTCCCGATTTTCGATTTGCACGACGACATAAGACTTCAAATTGAACACATCAATTGATTCCTGGTTGGGCCCAACACTATAAGTCAACACCAAATCACCGAGGGGACCAAATATATCACTTTTCCCGTTAGGGAAAAAGGAACGAATAAACTTTGACTTGTATGCTTGTATCCTTTACTTACCAAATCATACATGATACTGCTTTTTATAACATCATGTTACTGACGCATTTTCGCAATACCTATGCACAACCGACTTGTAAATTACAACTCATATATCTCCGTTTCAAGAATATAATATATTATCGTCTCAGAATTACTCGTGATATAATCCACGAAGTAATTCTCTGAGTGTGGGTTTATCAAATACTTAAATCTCCATTTATATGTACTCATGAATGTTGTAGCAATACAATTGCTATTTCCAACTCCCTTAGACAATCTACAATCCAATTCATGACAGTCTTAATTCACTACTTTATTCCTAAAGTATGAGTGACTGTGGAATTTGAATAATTAAATTATTTTGGAAGTAAAACATGCAAAATGAAACACAAGAATAAATAATTGACAAAGGTAGTAAACACAATCATAAATAATCTCTATTATCTAATCACCAAAAAGCAATTACATTTTATTTTGTTACAAGTTTCAAACTAATTATCTAACTACTAAAACTAATGTCATCTCTTAAACCAATGCTCCTACCATGTTGATTATGCCTAATCCTACTCAGAGCCTTTGTGAGAGGATTTGCAGGATTATTTTCTGACGAAAGTATCTTCATTATGAGATGACCTTCTTGAACTCTATGTCTTATATAATGGTACTTTTTGTCGATATGTCTTGACTTTCCATGATCTCTCGGTTCTTCGGTTAAAGCAACCGCACCTTCATTATCACAGAAAAGTTCCATTGGCTCCTGAATGGTCGGAACTACTCTAAGATCGCCGATGAAGTTCTTTAGCCAAAGCCTCTTCCTTTGATGTTTCACTTGCTGCTATGTACTTTGGTTCACAAGTAGAACCAGCCAATGTGTCCTGCTTGGAACTTTTTCAAGTAACTGCTCCACCATTTAATGTGAACACTCAACCAGATTAAGAACGAATGGTGTCTCTATATGTTTTAAAGCCAACATCACTATACCCAGTCACTCTCAACATATCACTGCCTCCAAAGACTTGAATCATATCCTTTGTCTTTAATAGATACTTGAAAAATGTTCTTAACTGTTGTCCAATGAGCTCTGCCAGGATTTCCCTGATAGCGACTGACCATGCTTAAAGCAAAGGACACATCAGGGCGAGTACATGTCATAGCGTAAATGATCAATCCTACAGCCGAAGCATAGGGGACTTGACTCATATTAGCTATCTCTTCATCTGTATTGGGGCTTTGAGTCTTACTCAATTTGGCATTACTCTGAATAGGTAGCTCTCTTTTCTTGGAATTTTCCATACTAAACCGTTTATGTACCTTATCCAAGTATGTACTTTGACTAAGTCCAATTACTCTATTCTCTCTATATCTCAAAATTCTTATCCCAAGAATATAGGCAGCCTCTCCTTGATCCTTCATAGTGAAACACCTTCCAAGCCAAGATTTCACTTCTTGAAAAGTTGGAATGTCGTTTCCCATGAGTAGTATTTCATCAACATACAATACTAGAAAAGTTACTATACTCCTACTAGCTTTGACATACATACATGACTCATCCTCACTTATAGAAAAACCAAACTCTTTGACTTTTTCATGGAAACAAAGATTCTAGCTATGAGATGCTTGTTTCAATCAATAGATGGATTTATCAAGCTTACACACTCTATTAGGAAACTTTGCATCAACAGAACACTCTGGTTGACTCATGTAAACAT